AATGTGGTGTACCGATGGTAGCATGAATGGTGATGTCATTTAGAAAGGTTATTTACAATAGTTTAAAATGTGCATCTGTTAGGCTACATCCTGTGGTTTGCAGATATGGATTATTGTTTATTACCAAAATCTTCTGTAATACGCACACAGTCAGGTTAAGATACAGTCATTTCCTCTAATATTTTTAAAAGCTGTAGTAAGCATTTGTAAATTCTGTATTGCATCTAAATTGCATCTACAAACAGTTATCTCATAGTGATAAACTGTTGAAACTTTAGTCTGTCATATCTGTATGTGATATGAAGCAGCTGAAGACACACCTCTTCCGCAAGCATTTATCCACTACACAACCTTAAACCAAGGCACCAAGAAACACAAAAATTCAGCATTTCACCTTTGCGCTAGCTTGTTTCCTAATCTAGCTTTCTAATAAACCTGGCATTGTACTCTGTGACAAATTGCTTATGTCTCTCTATCCACCTTATTTTTCAACGTGGAAGTAAGCCATTTTCTGTGAATGTGCGTGACATCCGATTCATTAGCTGCTGTTGGGAAATACGAGAAGAATAACAAAGTGCAGTAAATGGTAAAATTGTTTGCACTACAAATTCAAAACAGTGTGCTCCTAATTAAGATAATACATTAAAATAGTATGGTAAGACACACCAGTTTGCAATATCAAGCAGCAAATCGAGCTGTTTTATTTATTTTATTTATTATCCTTTATTTTACCAGGAATTATCCCATTGAGATATAAATCTCTTCTACCAGGGAGTCCTGGCCAAAATGGCAGCACATAAAGTTTCACATACAGATTAGACACACATAAAACAAAACCAAAAATTAATAAATAAAAAAATATCATCCAACATCATATTAAAAATTACATAAAACATTCACAAGTTTCTCCCAAGTAGAACTCCAAAAGATTTCTAAAAATATTTTGTACAGCTAAAATTAGCTGGAAGCGAATGACACCGGAAGCCAGTCCCATAAAATTTACAAATGGCCACTTTTTCCCACTCTTACGGAAAGTCCCACTCTGTTAGTCATTTTAGGTAATAGCCAAATGTATTCATGTAATGTAAATGGTATAACATTCTCTAATGACTTTTTAAAAGTTCCTTTTAAAATATTCCAAAGTCAACATCTAACATAAGAACATTAGCATTTGTTTAATGGTGAATGTGTAGCTCTGTTGTATATCAGGTTCTGTCAGGATAAGCTAGTCTTTGATAATCATGTGGTAGAAACTGCAACCTTTAGCTATTTGTACAGTTTTTAAAATGAGAACTTCATAAGTTCAGCAACTAAGTCCAGTATTGGTGTTAATTTGGATTGCTGTTTGCCTGCTGCATCTCTCATAACTTTGAGTCAATGAGTTAAAGCTCTCATCCTCCTGGAAACCCACAATAAAGAAAGAGAGAAAGAGGAAGAAAATGGCTTCAACCCAACAGACAAAAACTTACAGTCCAAAGAAAGGATACGAGTAAGAAGAGAGTGAACTAGGGAGGGGAATGAGGAGGTTTACAGTGCTAGCATGTCTTTGTCAGATGGTTGAGTGACCATGGAAGTTTGGCTTATTTTACATTTCTGGTGAAGTTGTAAAAGTCAAACCCAACTGTAGAAATATGTATTTCCTGACAATGGAAATGCTTTATGTAGCATAAACCATTAGCATTTTGCACAATAAAACTACAGTCAAATGGATCTAGCTCATACGACTGACATTTATCATAATTTACATGTCCAAGGATGTCTGAGAATCAAAGTCAGTGCAGACACTGGCATTGTCCAACACAAGTTCAACCACATTACAGGCCCCACTAGAATTATACTAAACAATTTCAATCCTGTCTGCTTTCAGTGGCACAGAGAATAAACAACTTCATCATGCTATGTTGGCCTTCTTGTAAAAGACACTTTAAAACACTCACTGTATTCTAAAAGCAGGACTACATGTCAGAAAATTTTATAGTTGCATTGGCTTTTCATAGTTGTGATAACAGTTCAGACGTTAGCTTAAATTTTTATGAAAAGTGTTGCTTCATAGATAAAGATACTTTAACCAGAAGCTTTCCACAGTATAATGAGGTGGTTTTCAGTTTAGTTTGATTGGTGTAATTTAGCAGATAATGTAATATATTATAGACACTAGAGTGTATTGAATGTGACAAAATACAGCATAGGTTAGCTAGCTATTTAAGCATAATATCTGTGAACACTTTCATTAAACCAGGTCAGTGCAAAATGTCTGGTAGAATGTATTCACAAGGAATTCGACTTTCCAATGAAGATGTTTCACCACCCATCTCAATGACTTCATCAGCTGTTGGATGCTGGGGAATTTCAGCCATCAGACAGCTCCTAAAAGCCATTTGGATGAGCGACAAAATGTTTTCAATAGACACATTAAAACATCATATCATGTGTCTAAAGGTGTGGAAATTTAATAACCAGTTGCTTAACATTTTTTTCCCAGCACTTTTTTGAGAACGGAAACCCACCATCTTTCCAGCTCTCTGATTTCTCTCTTATCTAATTTATTCCATCCGTCCATCTGTATGTCTGTTTCTCTCTCTTGAGTACAGATGCACTTTTTTTCACTGGTTTTGGTTGTATTCCTGTCTTACATTCTTTTTCGCCATCTGTCTGTTTACTTCTCTCTTCCTGTCTCAGATTCACTGTCAATCTCTCTTTGTTTATTTCAGTTCTTCTTACATAAATTCCACCATCTGCTTGTCTGTTTGTGTCTTGGTGTTGTTAGCTTTTCTTTCTTTCAGCCTTTTTGCCCTGTGCCCAACTGCCCGTCTTTTTGGCCTATAGTGTTTCAGAGCGGATGGCCACCCATTAGCACCAATTTATATAAACTGACTCCCCCCATCGAAACTCAGAATAGCACAGTATTGCAACTGTTTTAGAAGCAGCTGGGTGTTATTTGCATGAAAAATTACCAAATAAAATATTAGAAATGATGCCAAGGGTACTGGGAGGAAGGCTCAGATGAAACCTTTTTTACTCTTGTGTATTGCATGTTATGTAACTAGTGAAACAAAACGGTGGTTGTCTGACTAGTCACTTGAGCTGTCAGCTTAATGATGGACGGGAGTCCGTCATTAATATAAACAATACCTGCAAATGGAAATTTGTTAAATGTGGATTTTGTTGTTAAATTGACAAGATAGTCTGGCAGTAGGTACCATTGAAGAAATGAATGAGAGATAGACTGAGAGAGGGAAAAGTAGGTGACTCCTTTTAAAAATGAAGGAAGACGTGTCCTTTTATGGTAATTTAATCTTAAACTGAGGTCCGAACAAAGTGTTTTTTCTCCATTTTGACAAAGTTAAGATGTCTGGCTGGCTTGTACAGAGCAGTTAAGAGTGTCTGGGTTGTTCCTCCTTCCACAAGTGAAATGTCTTTGATATTTTACATGAGCTTATGTGGGGAGGTTTTAAAGTATTTCAGCCAAAATTGTTCCAGTGAAAAACACATCAGTTACTTTTCTAAATACCCTGAGAATTACTCTAGGAATTTAATGAATCCTGTCTGAAAGGGGTCATATGATGCGATTTCACGTTTTCCTTTCTCCTTGGAGTGTTACAAGCTGTTCGTGAATAGATAAGATCCCTAAAGTTGCAAAAACTAAAGTCTCAAACCCAAAGAGATATTCTTTATAAAAGTTAAGAGTCAACCACGCCTACCTAAAATGCCTCATTTAAACACGCCCCCACATGTCTACGTCACGATGTGGGAAGATTTGCATAACGCCACCCAAATGTTCACGCAAAGAAAGAAGGCGTAACTTTATTGTTGCTGACACCGCTGCCGCTGCGTTGTGAAGATGCTGTGTGTTTCGTTGCGAAAGTGAAAATACTTTCTTTGTAAAAATCGACGCGTTTCAAAAAGGCGGGGCATAGAGGAGAAACAATAATGTACAGTATGTGGAAAATAATGTTTTTTGAACCTTAAACCGCATAAACACATTGCATTACACCAAATAATGTTCTTTTTAGCAACATCATATGACCCCTTTAACCTCCAAAACATACTGTATGTGTTATTTAAGCAATGGAAAGTTAGTGTTGGGGAATCTTTCAGTTCAGTAACATTTTATCTGACACAGCATCTCATCACAAAGGTTTGTGTCTATTTATTGGGGTATTTATTGGGGTTGTGTTTGACAATCCATTGGGCCGATTTAATTGTGGCATGTGTACCACAAAAAGGTCCATTTTAATGTGGCATAAATTAATTTCCAGAGGAACCACGGTCGTGAGAAACAGTTTATTGCGTCATTAAACATTTCAAACTTTTTTAGTTTGAAATGAACTGAACAACTGAAACAAACATTTAAAAGTATGAATCACTACTACTAATCACTAAGGATTGAACGTTCTGAAAAAAGCTGAAAGTTATTTCAAATAAATGTGGAGAAAAGATACACGCTGATAAGCATGACAACAGCAAAGTTAAAGGTGGATCTAATGTTGCATTTCATTTTGATTTTTTTTATATCTTTGCATCTTTACACAGAATTTGGAGGTGGCAAAGAAACTCAGAGTTGTTGTAGCTGTGTGAAATCTGCGTTGTGATGAAATAAAGAGATTCAAATTCACAATGTAATGGAAGTAGCATCAGATCAGGGACTTGGTTCAGTTGTTGATTGGATGGAGGCAGATCTGAATGCAAGTTTGTAAGAAAGTGTCAGGGTTTAAATGGGCTAAATGATTTGTGAAATCTGGCATGAGTCACTAGAGAGAAGTCTATTGTTTAAATGGAAGATTGAGAGTTATGATATTTTGATTAAACCTTATGAGGTCCAAAAAATTAAACTGATACATGGATAATTTGTTCACAATAAGATCAATTTTTCCACATTTAGAAAATTAGAAAATTTCCACATTTAGAAAGTGGAGTATCAGGTGAATTTCCATTTCATGAAATCAGTGCTAGCAAGCTCTCTTTTTTACCTTTTTCTTTCGCTTTTATCTCTTTCTCAGCTTGTCCATCTGGTACATATAAACCTGAAGCAATTTCTGGAGGTGTGAGTACCTGCCTTCCCTGCCCCGATCCTCATCACACATCCAGACCTGGGAGTACAGATGTATCAGACTGTGTGTGTGCGGAAGGCTACAGACCACACAACAACACATGCCAAGGTGCTGATCTCTCTGCTTTATTTCTGTAAACATACGTCTGCTAACATTTATGTTTATAGATATGTGTCTGTATGTGTGCTCTTTTCAAACACTAAATACAATGCTTTCTCTTGTTCTCCCTACTGCAGCGGTGGTCTGTCCAGTTCTCTCTCCCCCAGAGAATGGTTTCTTCATCCAGAATGTGTGTAATAATCAATTTAACTCTGCATGTGGGGTGCGCTGTCTCACAGGCTTTGACCTGCAGGGAGATGGAATCAGACTCTGTCAGCCAGACGGGACCTGGTCAGGAGTTCAGCCGAGCTGCAGAGGTGATGCACACCTGGATTTTATGACATCACTGGTCCTGGAAAGGGGACACAAACTGATTTTTTTTTTCTTTTCCTTTTCTTTCACTCTTTCTTTCATTAGCTTGCCCCCTCCCTGCTCTTGTGTGTTATTTTTTTGCCTCTAATTCCATCTTAGCGGCAAACATATTGGTTTTATTGTCAGTTTATGTGTTAAACAATTGGAAGCTCAAAGGGCCTTTAGTCACCCCATATGTTTCATCACCCCCAGAAATGCTAAAATACTGCAGCCTTTGAGTATGTCTGCATGTGTGCAGAGGGGCTCATAAAGCCATTTCTCTGCCTGTCGGCCTGCAGCGCTCTGAGTTCATGTGTGTTTAGATAGCTGGAAAGTAAACTCTTAATGCTTTGCCAACTATTTGAGTGCTTACACACTTGAACAGATGAATACAATATGTATATGCACCTACACACAAACAAACCAAATCACACTCAGACAGATGCATGTATGCAAGTTGACCTGTTAAGAGTGCCTTCTCTTGTGACCTCAGGCCTGAAATAACAATATTTTGGTTTTTCTTTGTTTGGAAATAAATTACAGGTCTCAAAGTCCTAACCACAGACTTAGCTACCAGCCACCCTCTTCTCTTGAGCTTTTTCTTTTTTCCCTCTGATTTGCTCTTAAAATCTCTCTTCTTCTCTAGTCTGTCCATCTTTTCCATTTTTGTTTCTCCCAGCTGTCCATTTTAGCTCAGTGTTGTTCCATGGAATCATTAAAGTTTGTCCAATACAGCAAAGTTTTAATTACATAGGACCAAACCTTCTATGCAATGCTCTAACCCCTGTCTGGTGTGTGTGGTATTTTCCCATAGTTCGCTCTTGCCCAGATCTCTCTCCTCCACGTCATGGGTTACTGAACTGCAGTGAGCGGACCGCCCCCTATAGGCTGGAGTGTTTGGTTCGCTGTGAACAGGGCTATAGACTACAGGGCAGAGCCAGATTCACCTGTCTGGCCAACTCGCAGTGGAGTGGACCACAGCCCCGGTGTGTCGGTAAGATCGCAGCTCTATTTGTGTGTATGTGTTTATGTGGGGATAAAATGGCTGCAAATTGATGTCAAAACTGAAAAACCTACATTGTAATGACCTACCTCAACAGAAAACAGATTCATGAAGGGACTACAGGCTGACTACAGACTACACGCATTAACGCAGCACAGTTAACGCGGGCTCTATTTGACCCTATGGACCACCCGTAGTTCAAAACAGGGTTGCCAGGGCCGCAGTTTTCCCTTCACAAAACATTTGTAATGCGCCTCTAATCCAATTATCACAAAGAGCTTTGTGCTTTGTTACTTCTGAAACAAAGCCTCAGCTTTCAAATCCTGTACATTTTATCACAAAATTCAAACAATAAATGCTGTTTTGACACTCTTAAACGTGGTACGACAGATCGCTGTAGCAGCTTCAGTTTAACCGGCTGCGCAGAGCGCCACTTTAATACAAGTTATAGCACAAAACAAACAAATGAACATCAGAAGGTATGTTAAAAGAAAAAGTACAGCTTACTGAAATGTATCATGTCTCATGTAATTGTTCAATCAGCGTTTCAACCGAAAGAAAGAAAAAGTTAATTATTTAGCTATTAAAACTCTAGAGGGAGCTTAATTACAGTTTATTATATATGTATGTTTAAATAAATCTGTCAAGACAAGTTTTTATGAAAACTACCTTGTGTAGTTGAGTTGTATACAAAAGTTTTTATTTGAGTGTGATTATTATATCTGAAAATAAAAACTCTGTTTAACGGATAATTGTGCAGAATCAGTGCACAGCAAGACTAATCATCCTGCCAAATTCAAACTGTAGTCACATATATTTTTGTGTAGTTTTAGAATCTGTAGAAATGATCGGGAAAAAACATCTTATACATTGAGACCATGCAATCCCACAAGAAGGCGTAAGCTTTGTTTTTATAACTGTCTCTGATCTCCACAAGACAGTCAATCAGTCTGATGTATCTAAATACATAATTGTAACTTTTTTATTGTCTCAGTGCTTCATCAGACATAGACACACGCACACGCACACAAACACCACACACACACACATCAGCTGTGGCAGCCACTTTTTACCCACAAACCTACAGACACCTTATGCTTGGCTTCCAAAAGGCGTCTGTGAGCATGGCCAGTCAAAATACTCTTTTATATCTTTTATCAACTTCCATCTTGAGTAACTGTGTTTTTTTTGGTCTGTCCATCCCTCTACTGACTGTCAGTCAGCTTTGCTTTGCTCTTTTCGATTTCTTCGATCTTTGTAGTTGGATCGTTTGGACTGATTTTCCAGGAATACCTTTGGCTAGTTGTATGACATGTTTTCTTGTCTTCACTGTAATTCTTTCATTTTATTTCTCTCCATGCTCATCATTTTCTTTCACTTTGGCAGCACAGGGTGATCCAGATGTCACACTGAAAATCATTTGTTTGTGCGAGTGTGTGTGTGTTGAGGTTGTTTCCAAGAATTTCAAGCAATGTGGTCAACAACCGCTCTTACATTTCCCTTTCTGGAGAAATTTTACATGCTCTCTCTCTCTCTCATTATTTTGATTTATCATTGTGGAAAATGCTTGTTGTTTATGTTTTACTGTTTTCCTTTTCTTTCTTCTCTTTCTAAGAGATACGCTGTCCTCCAATTGTTACTTTGAAGCATATCCGTCTGTCACCCCCTGCCTGTGGGGAGAATGAGGTCAGGACCGGAGCATTGTGTCAGTTAACCTGTCCCCGTGGTTACCGTCTCATCGGTAACTCTGAAGTCAGATGTCTGCCTTCTGGAAACTGGAGTGAAAATCTACATAAAGCAACCTGTGCAGGTGATTTGTTTTCTGGTTGTGTTTATAATGGCATACAATATTATGTTTTGTGTGTCCCTGTGCATATACATCTACACATGTGGCTGAAACATCCCTCTTTGTTCTGCTGTACTATGATGTGTTGCAATGGGACAGATTGCAACAGGTAAAACAGGTGCATTACATTTGTTACTGCAAAACCTTTAAGATGATGCATAACAGAATAAGTGGAAGATCATCAAACAAAGTTGCACTATTGTGTAAAACTAATGGATTCCAAGATCATCAAACTCAAAACTGCCCCTCCAAGCTGGAACCAAACAAAGGATCAATTAGTTTTGGCTTTCACACTCGAACCTCTAAGATTTAATGGTGAGAGGAGAGAATTGTGTTTTCTGTATTTATGTGAGTTTGTGGCTCATCAGTGTCTATAGAGATTAGGTCAGAAGACAGAATGTTCACATCTGATCCAGATTCTTTCTTGGAGGGACAGCAGAGGCTGTGTGATTAATAAGCTCTACTCCAAGTTGGATGTGATAATAATAGTCAGTCATGACTCTCAATGCAGCAACACCAGCAAATGACTTAACAGGGAATCTAGAGTCGTATCATTAAAGGAATAGACATATGGGTTTGGAACGGTGTGAGGGTTTGGAAATCATGACAGAACTTTCATTTCTGTTCTCTTTTGGCTTTATTACTGTACCAGTGAAGTATTTGTTTGGTTTGGAGGGAGAGAGCAGACTACGTGATTAGCATGTTATACTCTGAGCTGCATGTGATACACCTCTGTAAATATAGGTCATATTACTGCAACACCAACTACTTCTCAACATGAATCTAGAAACGGAGATTTCACCCAAAATCGATTTATTAGCCTGTATGTTTTAAACCTGCTTGACTTTATCTGTACCAAGGAACACAAATGGTGATGTTTAGCAGAATGTTCACTCTGGTCTTTTCTATATACACTGAACAAAAAAATAAATCAGCATTTTTGTCTTTATTTTCCAAGTAAAAATATCTACGTACCCTTAAACATTTGTTGCTGACAGGATGGACTTTCATTAAAACTTGGCTGTCTATGCAGTAGAAACGTGAAGGTTTTTTTTTTTGTGACTAGGCAGAGAAAAGAGCTGTGGCGTTCCCTTTTGCCAAAAACTTCAACACGTCTGTGGTTGTACATCCAAAAATTTTGAAGTTTGATCTGTAGAACTTATGTTTCAGAAGCAAATTTGTTTAAATTAAAAAGAAGTTCACCCATGTGTATAATTGTTTTATATATTAAATTTTTTGTACAGTAAAATATATTTTATATATAAGTTCATATATATATATGTTCATACTCTATCCCTTTATGGCATTTAGACTTTTAAAAACAATACTTTAGACTTTTTAAAACAATAATTTAGTAGCTTAATTTTTTGCAGTGTACAGTAAGAAGAACACACAATAACCAGGGGCCATCAAGCTCCAAAAGGGATGAAATCTTTTTACATTAAAGATCTTTTACATAGAGCATAAGATTAAAGATGAGATAGCTAGAGGTAATGAGTGACATCATTATGGCATGTTTACATCAGTAATTGAATCAGTAATTGTTAATGAGGTTGACGTTATGGAGACTTTCGATACCTGAACGGATTTTCTCCTCTGTAGATATAGAGCCTCCATGGATTCAGTGTCCTGGTGATGTCATCACCGAGACAGATGAACATCAGAGTTCGGCTAACATCAGTTTGAGTGCACCCTTGCTTGGGGACAATTCTGGAGATGAGGTGAGTTTTACATCAGCTCTTTAATTTTTTATTTTCCATTTTGAGTCAAAGGAGCAGGTTTTGTGTATTTGTTTTAAAATGAGGTTTTGCCTTTCTTCCTCAGGTTGTGGTGCAGGTGACCCCTGTTCTAAACCCCATGCAGCCTTTCCCTATAGGAACTGAGTTCATAACATACACAGCAACCGACCGCACAGGAAACGAGGCCAACTGCTCTTTCACTGTTACAGTAGTTGGTGAGGTTGGATTCCATGTACAACTGATAGTAATTTACATGGTCATATTCAGAGCTGGGTAGTAACTGATTACGTGTAATCTGGATTACGTAATCAGATTCCAAAAATTAAGTACTTGTAATTAGAGCAAATTACATTTTAAAATACTCAGAATCAGACTACAGTTACTCTTATATTGATTACATGATTACGTATTATGTACATTATTACATATTATTCACACAATGGCAATAAATTATTCATAATTTATTGTTTCTCCCTAATTCCTCTTTTTCATATTTTAAATGTTACTTTCTAAAATAGCCTACCGCTTATATACACTCAGAAAGTCTTCCAATGTTGTGGACATTCACACAAACAAAGAACAGTCAATAGTCAGGTGGCCACACAGCATTTGACCACTGATTTACAAAAATAATATCAGGTTTAAGAAGTGTTTTAACATTATATCAACTACTGACGAACACATACATTTTTATTTGATTTATCACTCAGTGGGTTATTTAAACATGTATTACTATGTCATTTGTGAGGCTTTTGTCTTTCAAACACATTGAAATGCACAAATTCATGTTATTTCTTCTTTACATGTAATGCAGGGATTCCCACATTTTTTTTGTCATCTGAACCTCTTTCACTTAATATATTCATTTGAAGTACCCCTGAGATTTTAACATAAATATTTTAATAATTAGGTATCACATTTTCATTTCAATATTGCATGTTCACGGTTCTCTGATGTTGGTTAATGGTCACATGACACGCAGGTAAACAAATAAAATATTTAATCTTTTTTAGTAAGTGTTTTATTTTGATTGATGTCATTTTAAAATGAGTAATTTTAATTTTACATTTTTATGCTTAAATTATTAGCTTGCCATTAAACTCAAAAACCCCCTGCATTTCCTTTACGAACCCCAGTTTGGGAAACCATGACAGAATGTAATGTTTAATGCACTTCATGTTGTTAATAACAATGAATGGAATATATTTTCTTACTCTTTGTATTTTTATATCAGTATGGTACAAGATTATCAAATCAATGTGATAAATGAGTTAGGTCAAAAGTAATCTAAAAGTAGTCCGATTATATTACCTAAAATGTGTAATGTAATGGATTACGTTACTAACTACAATTTATGTCATACAAATTGTAGTCCATTACTGATTCCAAATTACAAGTAATCTGCCCAGCTCTGGTCATATTTAAATGTAGTGTTTTGAAAAAATTAATATATTATACCATGTTCAACCTTTTGCAATATTACTTTGTTCTGTACTCTGTTTCCTTAGATACGGAACCCCCTTTGATCGACAGATGCAGATCTCCACCCACCGTTAAGGCCACTGGGAAAAAAACTGCAATATACTGGGAAGAACCTCAGTTTTCAGACAATTCTGGTAAATACAAGTTTAATTTATAAGAGAGTGTTTAAGGGTGTAAAAAAGTGTTTAAAGGTGCACTAAGCAGAATTTAAAAAAATCATTACTTATGATCCATTAGAAGTTTGTGGTGGTATTTGTGAGACACTGCAGAGTCCACTGAGACACTGCCCTGTGCCTCTCCTGTTTTGACATAAAAGCTATTTTATAATGTTGCTATTGCCTTATTGATTGCCATCTGTAACTCGACAAATTACTAGGCATTGTAATGATGTCTTTATGATGTTATATACTGTAATTATTGTTTACTAGCCTGAAGATGACTAATCTTGCGCACCGATTACAGCCAGTCATCTAACTATTAGCGTATCTGTTTATTCATAAACACAAAAAATGCTATTTATGCACAAAAAGACCTAATCTTCCCACAGGGAGTCTGCTGCTGCAATTTAACATGATCTTTAGCTGTTTTAAAAATATAGACAGCAAAAAGAGGAACAATGTCAATTGTTAGGCCATGTTTATCATGTTTATACTTTATTTTCAGATAAAATATTAAACAGGTCCAGGAAATTGCAGGCCTTACTTGAATGACCTTGTATCTGGTGTGTGAGAAAATGAATCTTCAGGAATTGACATTTGGTAGAACCATCACAGAGAGGCTTCAACTCAGGACACCTGTGGAGGTTGAATGTGGTTGAATGAACTTTTAGTAGCTGCAGGGAATGGAAATGGTTTGATTTATGAACATTTTAAGAACGCTGTGAAGGAAATGTTTTTCTACAAAAAATATTTATTGATTTGGCTCCTTAAGCAGCGATAAGGATTGGAATCTGGATTTTGGTCTTGGACAGGTGAAATTACTTTAGTTTTATACTATAGCTGCAAATACAGTGAACAAAGAAAGAAATTATGTTTATGGCACAGTGATTATGGAGTATGGAGTTAACCACAGTGGTTGTGTTGGGATTAGGGATATGCCGGTATCAATTTTTCATGTTGCGATTAATTGCTAATGCTTTTATCACGGTATGCGGTATTATCACGATATTGACTTCTGTTACACCAAATACACAAAATAATGATCTTTAAAAAAGCATCATATGACCCCTTTAAGTCTAAATATGTAAGTATTTGGCTCTATGATGAACATCATAGCAAATACACAAATCTGAATGACTGTTCCGTGCATATTCATCACCGTGATATATCGCATTACCGAATACCGGCACAAGTCTAGTTGGGATAAAACAAGATAAATTATTCCGCAGATTCCGCAAGATAATTCATTTTGTTCTTAACCAGTTCAGACGTGAATACACAGACACACACACACTTTTCCAGAGAGAAGTTCCAGGGCTATTCCAAACTGTCTGACAAATGTCTGGGTCTGCCGGGTTTTGGAGGGAGTTTTGTCTGTACTAAAAATAAGCCTGTGTCAGGGTGTGGGCAGTGTGGTGTGACGTCGACAAGTGTGGTCAAAAACAACTTATTTTAGTGGACATATGTATGAGGGTTTCATTACAGTTGTGGGTACTGATATGTGCATGCAAATAAGTGTGTATGTCTTTTAGTGTGTGAAGTGTATATGATCCTTAAAAGACTCTATTGTCTGACCACAGTGTAGCACCCTTAGTTCTGTGTCATTAAACAATCTAGCAATTACTTTCCTCTGGCACCAAGGCCTGTTATTCCCAGGCCTCGTGAGGAGTAGTACAGTAGCATAGCACCCTTTGTAGGACTTTGTGGTTGACCAGAGCAAGTCCTTGTGGAGCTCCACATTGCTCCCTGTGGTAATGTCTGTGAAAGTACCTGTTACATCATTGGCTAATGCCAGATTGCACAACTGAAGCGATCTGTCTGCGATATTGCAAACAGATGCAGGCGTGTATACACTACATGGTAATAGTATGCGTACACCCCTGTCTAATTAATGGGTTTAGGTATTCTAGTAACTCCAGTGAAGATAAATCTTAATGCTACACCACACAGTGATGTTCTAGGGACTTGTGTGCTTCTAAATTTGTTGTTGGGGAAGGTACTTTTTTGCTCGAGCATGATGATACCCCAGTGCACAAAGCAAAGTCCGCAGAGAAACTGATAACTGAGTCTGGTGTGTAAGAATTCCCTGGCCTGCACAAAACCCAGACCTGGCCTCAACTGAACACCTTTGGGATGAATTGGACACGCTTATGTCTGAATGGGAACAATTCCTGCAGCCATGTTCCAGCATCTAGTAGAAAGTAGTATGATGTTTTAATGTTTTTGAAAGAAGTCTCTTGATCACCAAGGCTGCATTTATTTAATCAAAATACAGTAAAAGTTATACTGTGAAATGTAATTACAATTTAAAAAAAGATTCTTATTTAATATATTTTACAATTTTAAATTCCTGTAATGGCAAAGCGGAATTTTCACCAGCCATTTCACTAGTCTAGTGTCACATGATCCTTCAGAAATCATTCTAATATGCTGATCTGGTGCGTAAGAGAAATGTCTTATTATTAACAACGTTGCTGTTGATCAATTTAATGCATTCGTGATAAAGTATAATTATTATTTTTTTAAATATAAAATGTTACTGGCCCCAAACTTTTGAATGGTAGTCTATGTTAAAGTTTGCTGTTTCCTAGCCTGTATAAAGTCATTTATTTTTTATTTTTCTTTCTCAGGAGCCTATTTGAATATCTCTAGTACTCACTCATCTGGAGATGTATTTCCTGTTGGAGAAACTTCAGTGTACTACACAGCCACAGACCCTTCTGGAAACAGCCGTACCTGTGAACTCATCATTACTGTACAAGGTACTGTATGCCAGCGTGGACGTCTTATTGTTGACTAAGAAATGTCATTCCGCAAAGCATGCTAGAGTCTATTATTTTAGTTTTTTTTTATTAAATAAAGTGTACTCTGCTATAAGTAACTTGAATCTGTCTAGCCAGTTAAGCTAAATGCTGTGAATGTTTCCAGATTATGCTGTTCCTAAATAAAGTTAATTCTATGGTGCTGTTTCTAACCTCAGGTTCAACCTGTGAGAAGCCATTTGTGCCAGTGAATGGGGATTTCTCATGTGCCAAGACAGAGGAGGGAACAAACTGCTCTCTGATATGCAGACAGGGTTACAGTCTCACCCAGGATGCCGTGCACAGCTACTTTTGCGCCAATAATGGAATCTGGGAGCCGCCCCGCTCACCAGACAGACCTGATTGCTCCCGTGAGTATTGCTTCACTCTTACTCAACATTTGTCTTTCATTTTTGCTCTACTGTCATACTCATACATATACTGTCTTACACACTGCACAGAAAAATCTCCTCATTTTTATTATTGTCTTCGTTTATGTATGTGTCTCCTATGTATCTCCCATTTACAGTGAACAGAATTGCAAACAATGGCTTTAAGCCCTTTGAGACGTTGTTTAAAGCATCCCGCTGTGATGATCTTGACTTGCTAAAGTCCTTCACAGGGGAGTTTTCAACTGTTCTTAAAGATACGGTGAGATCTGACACACAAGTATATATGCATGTACATATACTATGGCCACATGACTTAAATTATATCTTGTTTTTTTTTTTTCTTCTTTTAATTTTTTTAAATAATCATAATCCCATAGGTCCCTAAAATTTGCAATGGGGATGATGTCACCTGCAAACTGGAAATGACTTTACCTGGACAGTGCCTGGAGTATAACTATGATTATCCAAACGGATTTGCTATTGGTAAAAAAATGGCATGCTAATTCTTTTCACCTGGCAGGATTATTATTAACTAAAACTAAAACTATTAAAAATTGTTTTTGGTAATTGAAATAAAGCTGAAATTACATTTAAAAAATATATATATTTTTTAAAAACATTAAATAAATGTACGTTGAAGATTGCTAAATTAATTAATAGCAGAAATTAAAATAAATTAAATAAATACAAATTAAATAAAATTTTCCATAAATTAGCACTTTTTTTCAAACAATTAAACGATCTAGTTTTTTCTTACATTTATTTTTTAATTATTTTCTTTAAATTATTTACAGTCATAAACTGTAAATTCTTTTTCCTTCTCCTCAGGTCCTGGAGGATGGGGCTCTCAGAATGGCCAGGACTATGCATATTTTGACACTGGTTTTGTTCCAGAGCACCACTTGCAGCAAGATGGTTCATCACAGCATGGCTATCACATGAGGACCAAACGCCATCGCAAAATCACTGGTCCTACCAGAGAGCAAAAGATACAAATCCATTTCAACATTACAGGTAGAGAAATATCAGCTACTGGGCTAACTAGTTGCACCTGTGTTTGCACCTATTGAAAATGAGTTTTACATCCAAAGCTAGTTGCAACTTCTCCCAACACCATTCCTTCTTCCCAGCAAGCATCCCACTGCCCTTGTCGAGGAACGACTCGGCGGAAATAGTCAATCAAAGACGTTTGCTGAGGGCACTTGAGCAGCTGACCAATCGGCTTAAGCGGACACTGAGCAAGCAACCGTTCTCTACCTTCCATGTGTCTTCAGAGATGATCGTTGCGGACCCCAAATCCTTGGAAAGTAAAAAGGCTAAACTGTACTGCCGGCCAGGGTCTGTTCTCAATGGCAGGGTGTGTGGTGAGTTTGAAAATGAAATACATGTTAAAATCCACATTCAAAAGGGCACATCTTATATATTCCAGAGTAAAAATGTGCTGATATAGATTCCGGAGCTGCAAACGTCTGGAAAACATTTGCGGCAAACTATTTAGCCACAAATTAACTGCAAGTATACCTCAAAAAGTGTCAGCCAGTTGCATATGAATTGGGAACAAACACTTTTTTGACATTCCTGTTTGTTTTTGACCCATAGTGCAATGCCCAGTAGGGACGTATTTCTCCCTGGAGTATGGCGAGTGCGAGAGCTGTTGGAGAGGGTCATATCAGGATGAGGAGGGTCAGATGGAGTGTAAGTCATGCCCAGATGGCTTCTCCACTCCGTACCTCCATTCCCGCAGCCTGGCAGAGTGCAAAGGTAATCAGTCAGCTTGATTCATTGATCTAAAATTATCTGTCTGTATGTTTGTTCATAAATCTACTGATCACTCCATTCCATTCCAGTAGAAAACTGCTTATACTATAGATGGGATGTCTAAGTGTGTCTCTGTGATTGTGTGTGTGTGTGCATACCTGCATGTGTGTGCATGTTTCCAGTGCAGTGCCAGCCTGGCAGCTCATCATTAACCGGGTTGGAGACCTGTGAGTCCTGTCCTTTAGGGGAATACCAGCCAGATTTCAGCTCTCAGGTCTGTCTGCCCTGCCCTTCCACCACGACCACTGTCAATAGAGGGGCTTTGGATGTCAATGAGTGCGGTGGTGAGATGTAACAACTGAAGAATTATTACTAAAACACACCTAAGAATGACTTAAACATATAAGACAAACATAAAAGCTAGATTTATTCGAAAATTACCGTTTGTTTTTTTAAAAACATTTGGTTTCTCTTTCTCTCTGTCTTTCCAGTTCCATGTTCCGCTGGTCATTTCTCCTGGACAGGTCTAGTTCCATGTTACCCATGTCCCAGAGATTATTACCAGCCTGAGGAGGGCCGTTCCTACTGTCTCTCTTGCCCCTTTTATGGTACCACCACAATAACAGGGGCCAAAGCCATCCAACAGTGCTCCAGTATGTTTCTTTACATTTATTCTAGTCATTTTATTTCCATTTGTTTTCCTGCTGTTCAGTACACTGCTGTTCAAGTTTATCTCTTGTGCTCACAAAAGCTGCATTTATTTAACAAAAATACAGTAAAAACAGTCACATTGTAAAATGTTATTACAATTTAAAATTTTAAAATATTTTATTCCTGTGATGGCAAAGCTGAATTACTTCATTACTTACGTCATTACGTCATTACTTCAGTCTTCAGTGTCACATGATCCTTCAGAAATCATTCTAATATGTTGGCTTGGTGCTCAAGAAACATTTCTTATTATTATCAGTTTTCAAATCGGATGGATTGAATAATAAGTTAAAAAGAACAGCATTTATTTAAAATAGAAATCCATTGTAACATTATAAATGTCTTTACTGTCACTTTTGATCAATTTAATGTGTCCTTGCTGAATAAAAGTATTAATTTCTTTAAAAATCTTACTGAACCCAAACTTTTGAGTGGTAGTGTATGTGTCCAGATCTGATGCTGGATATGAATAGTTTATGCATGTAATTTCTGCCTCATTAGTGGGACCAGTAACCAGAATTTCGAAAATAATGATTGTTACCACTTGTCAGTTCTCTGCTAAACAGCTTATTATAAGGTAGGCTTGGTAAGAGGAAGTATTCTAACATAAATAAATGACACGCTTCACCTTTAATGTGATATAAAGTGATGCTTGTGCAAGACCATGGTGTGTAGAGGGTTTCTTCATTCATTCATCAATGGAATATATAGGTCATTTTCAGGCTTTGGGTAGGTGTGTGAACGATTTGCAATGAGAATCCAATGCACATATTGGAATCTGATTCTCTGTACACACAGGAAAAAAAGTGCCTCAGTGTGGAAAAGATGAGGATGATGAATGCCTTTGGAAAATGTTTTCCAGTTTTGACAGCAGAAATTCTCCTCTTTCACATTTTTTTTAATGTGTGTTGTGCTTATTCTGTCTGTTTCATGTTCTAATTTCTTTCTCCTCGTACTTTTTTCCCTCTTTTCTCTTGGTCTGACTCAGGCTTTGGTTCTAGTTTCCTGCCTAAAGAGGAAAGTGCAACTGCAGCGCCAGAAGTTGTTGTGAGAAAGGATTATCAAGCCAGTAGCCAGGTGAGTCGTCACTCTCAGTAGTTGGTACCCAAACCTGGAAATTAATATTTGAAATGTGTTCTTGGTGTGTTTGGATCACATGTCGTGACCTTAAAAAAGAATTTGGATGCTTAAGTCATACCTATAAATTTATGAATGCCTGTACATTAAATACTAAATACCAAGTGTTTTATTTTAAGGAAAGATGGCACAAATAACGTTTAACAAAAGTATTGGTTCATGCTGCTAATTTATGTTATGAAGTTTACTTGTGTGAACTTGAGAAAAATTACATCATACAGCCACTAAATAGTTATTACTATAGTTAAAATAGTACTAAAGGAAGTTCTTGTATCATTTTGTTTGAAGATGCCGATTGATTTGCTATTTTACAACTTATGAAATGACATTCAGATATGTTTTTGGTTATTAATGATCCTTACTTTTTGTTGGTGTCACAGCATCCCCTGCGGGCTAAAGTAAAATAGCTGAAATTGTACTTCTTTACTTTCCTGCAGATGTTCCATGAATGTCTCCTGAATCCGTGTCAAAACCAAGGCACTTGTGAGGAAGTCGGCATCGGATATGTATGCACCTGTGTTCCAGGATTCACAGGTTTGGCATGTTCTGTAGCCATAACTCACAAGTAACATTGAAAAACCAGCTGTTAAGTTCAGTCGGCTTTTGGAAAACAACTTTGTAAACCTTTATAAGTTGCCCTATGTACTGTTTTCTAATACTTTCTGTAGTTCTATGTACTGCAATGTGTTTCAAGTTGTATTTAAAGGCACAATATGTAAGATTTTTTAATTAAAATATCCAAAAAAATACAGTAAAAACAGTCACATTGTAAAATGTTATTACAATTTAAAATTTTAAAATATTTTATTCCTGTGATGGCAAAGCTGAATTACTTCATTACTTACGTCATTACGTCATTACTTCAGTCTTCAGTGTCACATGATCCTTCAGAAATCATTCTAATATGTTGGCTTGGTGCTCAAGAAACATTTCTTATTATTATCAGTTTTCAAATCGGATGGATTGAATAATAAGTTAAAAAGAACAGCATTTATTTAAAATAGAAATCCATTGTAACATTATAAATGTCTTTACTGTCACTTTTGATCAATTTAATGTGTCCTTGCTGAATAAAAGTATTAATTTCTTTAAAAATCTTACTGAACCCAAACTTTTGAGTGGTAGTGTATGTGTCCAGATCTGATGCTGGATATGAATAGTTTATGCATGTAATTTCTGCCTCATTAGTGGGACCAGTAACCAGAATTTCGAAAATAATGATTGTTACCACTTGTCAGTTCTCTGCTAAACAGCTTATTATAAGGTAGGCTTGGTAAGAGGAAGTATTCTAACATAAATAAATGACACGCTTCACCTTTAATGTGATATAAAGTGATGCTTGTGCAAGACCATGGTGTGTAGAGGGTTTCTTCATTCATTCATCAATGGAATATATAGGTCATTTTCAGGCTTTGGGTAGGTGTGTGAACGATTTGCAATGAGAATCCAATGCACATATTGGAATCTGATTCTCTGTACACACAGGAAAAAAAGTGCCTCAGTGTGGAAAAGATGAGGATGATGAATGCCTTTGGAAAATGTTTTCCAGTTTTGACAGCAGAAATTCTCCTCTTTCACATTTTTTTTAATGTGTGTTGTGCTTATTCTGTCTGTTTCATGTTCTAATTTCTTTCTCCTCGTACTTTTTTCCCTCTTTTCTCTTGGTCTGACTCAGGCTTTGGTTCTAGTTTCCTGCCTAAAGAGGAAAGTGCAACTGCAGCGCCAGAAGTTGTTGTGAGAAAGGATTATCAAGCCAGTAGCCAGGTGAGTCGTCACTCTCAGTAGTTGGTACCCAAACCTGGAAATTAATATTTGAAATGTGTTCTTGGTGTGTTTGGATCACATGTCGTGACCTTAAAAAAGAATTTGGATGCTTAAGTCATACCTATAAATTTATGAATGCCTGTACATTAAATACTAAATACCAAGTGTTTTATTTTAAGGAAAGATGGCACAAATAACGTTTAACAAAAGTATTGGTTCATGCTGCTAATTTATGTTATGAAGTTTACTTGTGTGAACTTGAGAAAAATTACATCATACAGCCACTAAATAGTTATTACTATAGTTAAAATAGTACTAAAGGAAGTTCTTGTATCATTTTGTTTGAAGATGCCGATTGATTTGCTATTTTACAACTTATGAAATGACATTCAGATATGTTTTTGGTTATTAATGATCCTTACTTTTTGTTGGTGTCACAGCATCCCCTGCGGGCTAAAGTAAAATAGCTGAAATTGTACTTCTTTACTTTCCTGCAGATGTTCCATGAATGTCTCCTGAATCCGTGTCAAAACCAAGGCACTTGTGAGGAAGTCGGCATCGGATATGTATGCACCTGTGTTCCAGGATTCACAGGTTTGGCATGTTCTGTAGCCATAACTCACAAGTAACATTGAAAAACCAGCTGTTAAGTTCAGTCGGCTTTTGGAAAACAACTTTGTAAACCTTTATAAGTTGCCCTATGTACTGTTTTCTAATACTTTCTGTAGTTCTATGTACTGCAATGTGTTTCAAGTTGTATTTAAAGGCACAATATGTAAGATTTTTTAATTAAAATATCCAAAAACCACTAGAACAGTGTTATATATTTTGCTGACTTGTGTACTTGCGTTATCCCAAATGTTTCGAAGAATGTTTAAATCCAGAGAAGTAAGCAAATTTTAACTAGTGACATGGACCGTGTCTATAGTGTCATTGTGTCGCCTGCCAATGACGATTTCCGGTTTTGTTTTGTAGAAAACATGAAAACACCAAAGACGCTTTAATATGTTGTGCGTTTTAATAGACAGGTGACGACTGCACAGAGTAGCATTATAACAGAACTTTCAAATGTATCCAGTATGATAAAACAGCGCTGCTTTTTTTCCCCACATACGCACGACCGGAAGGAGTGGAAGCGGTCGACTGTGGGATAATAATCAAGCGTAGCGTTAGTTCTGGCAGGTCACGTTAGTCAAGCTCGCATCAGCTGACCTTCAGCTGATCCCCATCTACCTATGGGAATACGACACCTATCTAAGCATTCATATATAAGGTCCCTCAGTATTATCAGTAATTACCCTCCTCCATCCCCAACTCCTCCTCTGTCAGTCGGGATTCAGCCTTCTGATTCTCCTTGAATCAGACTAATTCTAAAATGTGTACATAAAATGATTGAACTTTAACAATATCTGCAATACATTTATGTTAGTTCTGTTCTGTTTACCCTGGGGGGTTATTGCAGCTCTCCCTGCTCTCATCCATGCTAGGCTGCATGGAGGCGCAGGGAGTTCTTGCCCAGAACAGAACCATACCGCCAATCCAAACTGTATGCTAATTGTCAGTCATCTTTGACGATAGTGGTCCTGACAGAAAAAGCTCCGCTGCTTTCGAGCCGTGTGTCAACGCTCGTTCAGCGGCCTCGTTTCGCTTCGACGGCTTTCAGCCTCACCCTGCTTCATACTACTACGTTAATAAATCATTAGCTCATCCATGAACATGATTTCTGCCCGAGTCCCGTCAGATTGCATCAGCTGTGGGGATGAAGACGACAACTCCCATGATTCCACACTCAGTCACGCCGTCATCAAACTATGCCTTTGTCTATTTGTTTATTTTGAATACGCACCCTCTAGCGGCGAAAATTACATATTATGCCTTTAAGACAGCTCAGTTGAGCCAACTAAATTTGGTTTAATAATGCAGTTAGTCTGGTATTACATTATATAATTTTGATAGATTAGCCTCTGTGGTTGAGATGAATCACTGCCCACTTTTTGCACATTTTCCTCATTCATTGCCTTACAGGAGCCAAGTGTGAGAGCGACATTGATGAATGTGATTCTGTTCCTTGTCAAAATGGTGGCTTGTGCAGAGATGGCATGGGAGATTTCCAGTGTCAATGTCAGCCTGGGTTTGTAGGTAAGAGAAAGCCCACTCACATAATCTGACATCATCTCAACTTCACACTGGGGAATCCCAATGTAACTGTAAAAGCCGAGTTCTACGATTGAAATGTTTGAGGCAATTAAACCCCAAATCCAAAATTCCTAACTGTTGAGGGTTCTGAAACTTTCCTTTAGTCTAACCATTGTGATGGATTTAGCTGTCTCTGAATCTCTTGAGTCTGGCAGTGGAATTACATAAACTCTCATTCTCAGAACCTTACAACACTTTTTCCATTCAGGCCATTGTCTCTCCTCTTTAAAACGTGGCCATGATTAAGCATGTGGCTGCCCTAGATATGGAGAATTGAATTGAAGTGTTTTTGTTCTTTTTCAACTCTGTGTATGTGTCTGGGGTGTTTTGTTCGAGGTGGCAAGCGAGGCGAAAATTGAAAAGAAAATAATTGAAAGTACGAAGATAAATCAAAACAAATAAAATGAAATGTGATCTCAAACAGTTTGTAAACTGCTTACTTTAATCTAAAGTAACAATATTCAACATTAGCCAAGTTTCCATCCACTTTTTGATAGTATGGCAATATAAATTATAATAGGAATATTGAAGTATTGGTTGCTTGTTGATTGTCACAAGTGTGAGGTAAAATGGTGTTCCATATGTTTTTGTGTGTGTTTGTGTCTTGTGTTGTGTTTTGTCTCTGGAAGGCTTGGTGTGTGAGGCAGAGGTGAACGAGTGCAACTCTTCTCCATGTTTGAATGAAGGACTCTGTGTGGATGAAGTGAATCACTTTACATGTAGCTGTCCAGATGGATTCACAGGTCAGCACCTCACCTCTGCTACACCTGTTCACTTACATGTAATGTCATTTATATTATAATACATTTAACTGGAAGTTCTTAAATTGTAGCGCACCAGTCAAGTTACAAGGAATATCTTTTTCAATGTCATTTACATCTAGGTCCACGTTGTGAGTTGGAAATAAATGAGTGTGCTTCCAGCCCATGTCAAAACGGAGGTGTTTGTAAAGATTTGGAGGGTGGGTATTTCTGTACATGTTCTCAGGGCTTCACTGGCAACAATTGTGAGGTTGAAGTTGATGAGTGCTACAGCGACCCCTGTCTGAATGGAGGAACATGTGAGGATGCTATCAATGATTTCAGGTTAGTGAGGAAGCCCTTGTAGAAACTGTTCATGCATATGCATTAAGAGGATGATTATAATGTATTGCATTTGTTACAACTGATATATGATAGATAACAGAATTTGTCTCACATTTGTGACCAGGTGTGAATGTGTGAATGGATACAGAGGCAGACTATGCCAGGTGGACGTAGATGACTGCGATCCAAATTTGTGTTTGAATGGCGCGACCTGTGTGGATGGAGTGGCCACTTTCACCTGCCGATGCCCTCCTGGGTTCAATGGAACCAGGTGTGAGACAGGTATAGAGGGAAAGAGATTAAAAAAATGATGGAACATCATCATCATAGAGAGAAGTTTTACAAAGGCTTGTTAGAGATAGTCTTTGTATTTTCCTGTTTTACTCTGTAAAGCTGCTTTGACACAACCAATATTGTATAAAGCGCTATACAAATACGGGTGACTTGACTTGACTTGACTTTGTGTCACTTTAATTGAGATTTAATTGAGATGCGTTCCCAGAAAAGTGTGGAAAATTCCTAGCAGCACTTAAAAAGATTCAGTAGACTCTTAACTTTCACACCCTGTTATACACAATCCATTTTTCATAGATGTTTTCAGATAAAGTTTGATGTACTGTAACTTTCAGAACCAAAAACTTCCTCCCCAGTAAAAAATGCTAATTTATTAGAATTAATCTACAAAAACATTTGCTTTGGACTTCTGCATCTTTCTGACCTCTGACAGATGAATGTTAACAATAATAAAAAAATAATTAATGAATTATTATTCACACACACACACACACACACACACACAGATATATATATATATATATATGCGTGTGTGTGTATATATATATGTGTATGTATATATATATATATATATATATATATATATATACATTTATTATATTGTATTTTGTGTTAAAACCTAATTAACATTGTGAGTTAACATCAGGGACCAAAAATATACTGATAAAATATAATGTATAATATGACATATCATCTGTGGTCTTTTCCCTTTTTTTTCAAACAGAAATGCCCTACTCCTTTGATCTGCAGTTTGAAGTTTCTGGTATCCACGGTTACGTGATGATGGACGGTCACATGCCATCACTTACACAGATCACATGTACATTTTGGATGAGATCATCAGACACGGTTAATTATGGAACTCCCATCTCTTACGCTGTGGAGGGAAGTGACAATGCCTTCCTCCTCATTGACTATAATGGGTGAGAGCTTTGTTTAAAAGTTGCAAAATTTGCATTTACGCAACTAAATTAAATACATGCTATGACCTGTTTTTACATTATGCAAGTTCACTTTACCTACACCTTACTCTTGTTTAAAGGTCACTCTTTTTTTTCTTACATTCTCCTCTTTTCCTCTTCCCTTTTGTTTCTGTCTTACTTTCAGGTGGGTCTTGTATGTTAATGGCAAGGAGCGGATCACTGACTGCCCAGCAGTAAATGATGGCCTCTGGCACCATATTGGTGTATCATGGCGCAGCAAGGACGGTGATTGGAGAGTTTATATTGATGGGAGCCCTTCAGATGGAGGGAAAGGACTATCAGTTGGCACTACCATACCAGGTTGACCTTTTTACCTAATAAAGAATGAAAACACACTGTCAGTTCAAGACACTTTTATTGCTTTATGGTGCTTCAAAGAAAATGTGTGTCCAGAAACTGAAATGTTTGCTCTATACTTACTTTAAACAGGAGGGGGTGCTCTGGTACTTGGACAGGATCAGGACCAGAGGGGAGATGGCTTCAACCCAGTGGAGTCCTTTGTGGGCACTCTTAGCCAGCTTAATATATGGAACTATGTTTTAACACCACAGCAGGTAACAGTTTATACATATTCCTTATTCTTACTCTTAAGTTAACATAGAACAGATCCCTGAGACTGAAAAAAACATTCTGAACTGCTCAGATCAGAAAATAATCATATTTCTACTATTCTTAGATCAAGTCTCTGGCCAGTAGCTGTCCACGTGATCTGCAGAAAGGGAACGTGTTTGCATGGCCTGACTTCTTAGGAGGGGTCACGGGCCGAGTGAAGACCAGCAGCAAGAGCATTTTCTGTGCTGGTAAGAATCAAGTCAAGTCATATATTATTATCATTCAATCATGTGTGTGCATGGGAGAACAAAACACTGCAGGCCTTGTAGTGAATTTTCCTTAATATTTCTACCGCACAGTAACAACAGTACAATTTTTTTTAATTTTATCCAATGTATCCTTATATGTAACTACCTAACTCATATAAATAATTATACATTTTGAGAATAATAAATCAAAAATCAGTGCCATAAATATGTTGTAGTGGTGAGAAAGTGTAACATTTGTTGTCCACTGTTTTGGTCTTTTAGACTGCGCCCTGGTGGAGGCTTCTGTTCCTCAACTGCGCTCATCCAGTAAAGCTGTGAGTCCGGGCTCTAAGGTTCAGTTCTCTTGCAGTCCTGGGTTCTATCTGGTGGGGGAGCCAGTGCAGCAGTGCTTAAACAGAGGCCAATGGAGCCATGCAGAGCCAATGTGTGAACGTGAGTGATGGGAATGCACAGATATGCAACAGAGGACACACAAAAGTATACGCTGGCTGTTTAAACCACCACACATTCAAAATGACCATTACAGCCACATATACAACAATATACTTATGCTGTACTGATGAACAATGTTAAATGTTAATGTTACATTTTCATACACAGATAAACACATACCATAACACAAATAGATACAAAGTTTGTGCACATACTCACATGTACTTCATATACACGCAATGTAGTAATTACCCAGTAAGTACCAGGACCATCATTAATCTGTACCAGGGCCTTTCTCTTTATCTGTAGGTGTGGAATGTGGTCCTCCGCCTGACCTGGAGCACGGGCAGTATCATGGAGAGGATTTCTATGCTGGGAGCACAGTGCTTTATCAATGTAAACCAGGGTTCTACCTGCTAGGGGAGAGTAAGATGTTGTGTACCAACAATGGTAAATGGATTGGCAACCCACCTGCATGTCTGGGTAAGAGATACACAGCAAATCAGGGAAAGAACCTGAAAGAGGCGTTGAATAGACAATAGGTCTATACCAGAGTTATCAAACATCACTATACACAGGTGCATCTGGAACCTGGAATATCATTTTACATTTTGTTTGTCCTTTGTTTTTGTGTTGGTTTGTGCTTATATTACAGATGTGGACGAATGTTCTCTGGGCTCTGAATGTGATGAACATGCTAGTTGCCAAAACACTGATGGCTCTCATATATGCACCTGCATACCCCCTTACAGTGGCGATGGAAGAACCTGCACAGGTAACACAATCTCATAAATTGGACATTTAAAGTTTCAACAGGTACAACAGATGACTGCGCTTCCAGCTCACACAGTAACATGTTTAATAACTGAAGACAATTATTTTCTCTCTTTATTCTTTATTCTCACTAGAGCCAGTAAAATGTAAAGATCCAGGTGTTCCTGAGTTTGGGCACCATGAGGGCAGTAATTTCATCATGGGCAGTGAGGTGGTCTTTTCCTGTGAGGAAGGCTATGAGTTGATTGGCTCATCCCATCTATCCTGCACAGAAGAAGGAATTTGGAAGGGAGATTTCCCATACTGCAAAGGTAGGCCTAGCTTTCAGATCCGTCTATTGGTGCTACTGTTTGTTTACATATGGCGCTTTTGCACTTCATGGTATGGCTCAGTACGGCTCACTTTTGGGGGGTTTTCCACTATGTACAGTACCTAGTACCAAGTACTTTTTTAGTAGCACCTCAGTTGAGGTTCCAAGCGAGCCGTACCAATACTAAAATGTGATGTGTAAACACTGCAGGTCACTGATTGGTCAGCATCAGCCTCCACAGTATCATTTGTTTGCACGACTTGCTTTAAACAACCGTCACACGTAACTTGAAAAAAGAAATGGCTGTATCGTGGTCAGTAGATGAGGTGGCAGTGCTACTATAGCGATAAGCTGAGCCGAGTTGTACCACTCAGTGGAAAAGCGCCAATAACTACCATTCAACTTTTGGGGTTAGTAACATTTGTTTTTAAAGGGGTCCTATTATGCTTTTTCACTTTTTACATTTTAGTCAGTGTGTAGTGTGTATGTTTGGGCATAAAAAAGATCTAGAAAGTTACAAATCTCAAAGGATTTGTTCAGTGTATATATATATATATATATATATATATATATATAGCATCACAGTTTCCACAAAAATAATAAGCAGCATAATTGTTTCAACATTGATAATAATAAGAAATGTTTTATGAGCACCAAATCAGCGTATTGGAATGATTTCTGAAGGATGATGTGATCCTGAAGACTGGAGTAACGGCTGCTAAAAGTTCAGCTTTGCCATCACAGAAATAAGTTACATTGTAAAATGTATTAAATAAGAAAAGTTATTTTAAATTGCAATAATATTTCCCAACATTACTGTTTTAATGCATTTTTGATCAAATAAATGGAGCCTTGCTGAGCATAAAACATAAAAAAAATCATACTGATCCCAAATGTTTGAACAGTAGTGTAGCAAATAACAAAACAACGCGAGCACACATAACAATTACTTGAATATAATTCTGGTTTTATTTTTCACTAAAATTAAAGGAGCCAAGCTAATGCTAATGGAAATATAATGGAAATATGCTGAATGTTATTGGTAATAGTAACAAACTAATTAGAGCTTGTTTTTGGATCCAAATGGTTCTGTGTAAATGTAAATGTAATCCAACCATACACAACACGCATACATTGTTTCTCAATCTCAGTGGGAAACTGACCTGATTCTAGAGTGTGTATATATAGGTACCTCATAAACAATTGTTCGGCTTTGTTGAGTCCATGTTACTGGAACAATTTAGTATTTTATATTACCAGCAAACTGAGCATTATCCTGAACCTCAGCCAGCAGCTTTTATGGGGCTTTTATATCTTGTCACCTCAACTCACATCACTGTATGTCAATCAAAGTTACATGTATTTTGTTTTGGCGGAGTCCCGATACACTCCGAATGCATTGTTTGTTTTCCTGACATAAGAGAATTTAAACGGGTCATGAACCGAGAAATAAAAATTCCCTTGATCTTCTGACATATAAGAGGTCATTGTACTGTGAAAACGTCCTGTAAGTTTCAGAACTCAAAACTTTCTCGTTAGTCTAAAAACAGCTTATATTGAAGCCAATCTGCCAAAACAACAGGTTGTGGATTGTGCCACTTTATGATGTAATAGTGTGGCTAAACCCCGCCTCCGCAGAAGAAGATCAAAGCCTGCTTCTACATCACTGCCAGTTTAGCCCCGCCCTTGGATTCATGCATGTAGTGTAAATAAGGAGAAAGGGAAACACAGGTCTACACAGAAACCAAATGATAAAGATACTCAGAAGACAACAAGATGCTGTACAGCGCCAAGTTGTGGAAAAACACAGAACTTGGTCCTTTGTTCCCTTCAGTTTACCGTGGATTCCTTTACAAACAAGGCACAATATGATGCAGGATTTTTAGTAAGATTGAAACTAAAAGACGATGCTGTACGACTATCCGACACATGTGTGAGTAACTATTTTTATTACGTGGTCACTATTGCTTTGTTATTACAGATCGTTTGATATATACTAAATATTTATGTGTTTGTAACCTAATAACAGCAGCGTCCATCTGTGAAGGATGTAGGCTGTCAAACATACACAAATATTAGCCAATCATAGCAGTGGCCGTTTACTTCAGTCTACAATCTGCCACACCTATTCAAACAGAGCATTCCCATGAGGGGGGTCAAAATAGGCCAGAAAATAGCCTATTACTTCTAAATTATGATGTTTTTGATGTAAACATCTTGATAACATTATTAGTGGACCTCAGAGAGAACAGTACAAAATAATAAAGTCAGTTAATGACCCCTTTTAATGCAGTGATGATGACAATTACTGTCTAGTCTGCATTTCACTGAAAACACTGAACATAAGCTGTGTCTAATGATTTCCCCCAACAGCCCTTTCCTGTGCACATCCCACTCTCCCTGAATATGGAATCATGAAAGGGTCAAACTTCACATACGGAAGCAAGGTGACTTTCAGGTATCACTGTTAGATGTAGAGTCAGTTTCTGGAGGTATTGTATAGCTAATTTTAAAAGATCTGTTTAAATATGGGAGAGACTATTTTTGTTTAATAGCATAATGAGAAAGGACAATATTTTTTTGTGGGTTGTTTTGTATGCAAATAATCTTTGAATTTTCTGCTCTGCTGCAGTTGTGAGAAGGGGTATGTCCCTCAGGAGCCAATAGAAAGCCAGTGTCAATCTGATTTGAAGTGGAGCAGAGAGCCCCATGTTTGTCAGCCTGTTACCTGTGGTGAGCCCCCAGTGGTTGATTATGCTGAGTATACCCTCAACGGGAAAGTGTACCTCTCCACGCTAACCTATACCTGCATAGAAGGATACAGGTAAAGTCTGATACATTTTTATCACTTTATGACTTTATGAAAATAGTAGCAGGAACAGTATAGGACAGGGGACCAATATTGGCATGTGTGCCTTAGGTTGCTGACCCATGGTATAAAAAAAACATTTTTGGATGATATGGTTGCTTTTTACACATCTAGATGTCAGAGAATGTATTGACTTTCCTTTTTTTTTTTGGTGTAAAGTTTGCAGGGTGCCATGGAACTGAAGTGTGAGTCATCAGGAGAGTGGGCATCTCCTCCCCCCATCTGTGCCAGAGTGGACTGTGGCAAACCTCCTCCTTTGAAGGATGCTGTGATTAAGGGCGACAACTTTACACTGGGTAGCATGATCATCTATGTTTGCAAAGAGGGGTAATTAACTTCATATATGCATATTTTTGTTGCCAGTGGATTTGATCTGTTTGTTTGATGCCCTATTAAATATCTTTTTCAATCACTCTAGTAATGAAATGATAACAATGATTTGTAAAATATTGTCTTATTGTAGTTACACCCTCCTTGGTGTAGAAACTCAAGAATGCCTCCCAAGTGGCAACTGGACTCATAATTCTGCTCAGTGTGTGCCTCGGTCTTGTGGACCACCGCCCCAAGTTGACCATTCCCTACCTGACACTGGACACCAGCTTTTTGGGGACACTGCTATCTACTTCTGCGATGACGGTTACATTGCTGGTAACAATACAAAACTGTTCTGCAATTCCCAAGGTGTTTGGGCTCCCCCAGATGGATTTGGCATTCCTCACTGCATTGCCAACTTCTGCCAGCGTCCCCTGGATTTACCTCATGCCATTCTGGACTCCATCAACAAACCAAAGCATGCAAGCAACACAGAGGTCAGCTACAAGTGTGAGGAGGGATTTGTTCTCAACACAACAGGAACCCTGAAGTGCATGATAGGGGGAGAGTGGACACCCTCACCTTTGGACATTGGCTGTATGCCTGTCAGATGCTCAAAGCCAGACAGTATTGAGAAGGGCTATGTAAGTGGGAACAATTATAATTTTGGAGCGGTGATTGCATACAGTTGTGATAAAGGATATTTCATTCGAGGAGAGAAGAGGAGAATTTGTAAAGCCAACGGTGAGTGGGGAGGTGTCTTGCCCACATGCCAGCCTATTTCCTGTCCCAGCCCACCTCGCTTGGCAAATGGCTTTATCCCGGTAAATACAATACTGTCTCCTAGTAATGCATAATATACTGGTACCAAATTGATTTAATATTTAGTGTTTTATTTTTAACTTTGCTGGTTAGCACATTCTGAGCCATTTAAATGTATTTCTTAATAATTTATTTAATCCATAATTACATATGTATGATACTTTTTTCCCCATAGGGCCAAATAAGAAAGAACGGATATGTATACAGCAGTAGAGTGACCTATGCTTGCAACGATGGTTATCGCCTAACCGGAAAGCCTGAACGTATATGCATGGCCAATAAGCAGTGGTCGAACAACAATCCTCCTGTTTGTGTCCTCCTCACCTGCCCTACCCCACCTGATATAAAAAATGGCCGTTATCATGGCTCCACATTTGAAGTTGGCAGCAAGGTGGAATTTGCCTGCAACGAAGGATATGAACTCATTGGAGATTATGTATGGACTTGTTTAAAGTTTGGAAATTGGGACGAGAGTGTAACCCCACGTTGTTCCCCAGTACAGTGCCCCGAACCACCTTTAGAGGAGAATCACCTTGTACTGCGTGGATTAGATTCTGACTCAGGCATTGTGGAGCTTTCTTGTGAGGAAGGGTATGTTCTCCATGGTGCACGAACTCTTCGTTGTACCCCATCCCAGGAGTGGAATGACTCTTTTCCTGTCTGCAAACAAGTCTTTTGTGGACCTCCCCCTGAGGTTGCCTTTGGTGACCCATCCGACGCACTGTCCTACTTTCGTAGTGTGGTGACCTACTCGTGCATGGATGGCTTTACACTCCGGAAGGAAGCTTCTGTCCGCTGCCAGGCAGATGGGAACTGGAGTAAACCTTATCCCGAATGCATTCCTGTTGAATGCCCACAGCCTGAGGACATACCAAACGGAATTGTGGATGTTCAAGGACTAATGTATCTTAGTACTGCTGTCTATAGCTGTAAGGCAGGGTATGATTTAGCAGGTAACAGCACTGTGCTTTGTGGTCAAAGTGGACAGTGGATAGGAGGTGTACCTGTATGTCACCCTGTTAAGTGTGCTGCACCCAAGGAGATTCCCAATGGCTATGTTAGGTACACAAGGCTTCAGTTTAGCCAATCAGTTACATATTCCTGCCACAGGGGGTACCGCTTACAAGGCCCAGAAACCCTTAACTGTTTGGAGAACGGACAGTGGCACCAGGAGGCTCCTACTTGTGTGCAGATCTACTGTTCTCCTCCAAAACCAATTGAGAATGGCTTTGTAGAAGGACGGGACCGCAAGTTTGGGGTTACTATCTTCTATAGCTGCTTCCCAGGTTTCATACTAGTTGGTAATAATCGACTGCGGCCTGCCTCCGCATATTGATTTTGGTGACTACTCAAAGGTCAAAGAACCGTCAGCAGAAGACGACGCCCTTACAAGCCAACATTTACCAGTAGACAGCAGCTTTTTACATGGTTCCCTGGTTCAATATCATTGTCATGCTGGGTATGAAATGAATGGTGACATTGTGTTGATGTGCCAAGAAGATGGCACATGGAATGGAACTGCCCCTGTGTGTGTTCCAGCACAATGTGAGACTCCACCCAGCCCTGAATATGGATCAGTTATTGTTACAGATAGTGCACTTGGCAGCCTTGCGGAGTACAGTTGCGAGGAGGGTTACGAGCTCAATGGACAGACCATCCGACAGTGCATTTCTGGGAAGCAGTGGAGTGATGACGCTCCTCGCTGTTTGCCCATCTCTTGCGGTAACCCTGGAGGCATTGCGAATGGTGAGGTGATTGGAAAATCCTTTCACTTCAAGGCGCTTATTCACTTTGAGTGCCATAAAGGGTTTGTCCTTGAGGGTGTTGAGACTAGAACTTGCCAGGTTGATGGGAAATGGGATAACAAAGCTCCATCGTGTAGAGCAGTCTCCTGTGGGTGCCCTGATGTATCAAAGGATGTTTTAGTAAGAGGAGACGACTATACATTTGGAAAGAGGTTGTTGTTCAGCTGCAATCTTGGCTTCATCCTACAGGGAACACCAACCAGTGTTTGTTTAGCCAATGGCAGTTGGAGTGAGGCTCCTCCAAAGTGCCTTCCAGCCAACTGTGGTCAACCACCAGTAATCGAAAATGGTCAAGTAACAGGCACGGATTATGGTTACAATGGTATGGTTAGGTATGCTTGTGGCATTGGATACGTCTTGACAGGAAATCCTACACTAATATGCAGAGCTGATGGACTATGGGATGACCCTCCTCCGCGGTGCGACATAGTCACATGTGATCCACCTGAGGACATTAGCCATGGTTACCTGAATGGATCAAGCTTTAATTTCGATGATGTTGTGGAGTATATTTGCTTCCCAGGCTATGAGGTTGTTGGCAGTCCAGTTTTGCGATGTGCTGCCGAAGGTGTCTGGTTGGGGCAAGTTCCAGAATGCCGACCTTGTGTTTGCAGTCTCCCAGTTCTGAAGTACGGTGCTATTCTCGGCCGAGACCACACCTGTGGTGCAAGCATCTGGTTCCGATGTGATGAAGGCTACAAAATTCTTGGCCCCACAGAGGCCATATGTGACAAGGGTGGAGTGTGGAGTCCAGGAGTACCCATCTGCACTCGAGGGAGATGTTCTAGCCCTCCTCCAGCTGTGCCTAATGCTGTTGTACAAGGCAGTGCTGCCTACTCCATTGACACTGTCACTTACCGGTGTAGGCCGGGATATCATTTGAAAGGTTTTCCCCATCTTTCCTGTGGAAGGTTGGGCAGATGGGGAGAGCCAAACCTGAACTGTGAACCCATTTCTTGTGGAGTTCCTCCTCTTATCCCAAATGCAGAGACTGCTGGAGTGGTGTTAACCTATGGCAGCAAAGCTCAGTACAGGTAATCTGACATAACATAAACATCCAATAAAAACTAAATTGTATAAATAAAATTTCTGAAGATCTTAAAACTGAATGTTTCCACTTGACACAGGTGTAAAGAAGGTTTTGAATTAGCAACAAAGACAGACTCAATAACCTGTCAAAGTGATGGCACCTGGTCCAAACACAGCATCAGATGTCGACCTTCACCCTGCAGCCTTCCTGCAAACCTCACCTATGTAGTCATCACAGGCAAGCAGCTCACACCTGTAGGGGGCACAGTCATAATCTCCTGTAGACCAGGGTACTATCTTGAGGGACCTGGATTATCTGAATGTTCAGTAAGTGATATGTCAAGATGATCGTTTTGTGTGGACACCCCTTGCTTCATTTGGTGATAATTTTGTCATTTTCTAATGATGTCTCAGGATGTTATTTCCCATTTATTTGATCCAGGTCTCTGGCACATGGTCTCCACCTTTCTCTTCCAAGTCTTGTGTGCCTGTTATTTGTGAGAAACTTCTCCCCATTCTCAATGGCTTGGTTGAGGGCAAGAGCTACAATTATCGAGATATTATTAGCTATACTTGTCTACCAGGATTTGAACTACAGGTACATTAGTTTTATTCATCCATTTTTCAAATGGCTTGTCCTATGTTAGGTTGCAGGGATGCTACAGCCTATCCCAGTGTCTCAGGTCGTAGGCAGGGAAAACCCTGAAGAAATGGCCAGTTCATCACAGGCATCAGACTAGGGCTGTGCAATTAATCGAAAAACAGCTTCGATTTCGATTTTGGCCTCCAACGATTATGAAAATACAATAATCGAGATGAAACGATTATTGCGCCCCATTCTGCTTCCTTTTCCAGCGCTGCGCTTTCGTTCCTCCATAAAAGCCCAATTTCACGTGCAAATCAGTAAAATCATGTAACGTGACTTTTGCAAAATGGGACGTGCTTGATTTATAGAAGTATATTTATTAATGTTTTTAAAAGCGTGAAAGAGAACTTGCGCTGCTCCTCAGGAAGACATGTAAAGTCATCTTTTAGCTCAAGGTGCGCGCCTAAACGGTCAAATACACGCAAAAATGTGTCAAAATGTGGCGCTTAGTGATTATTCATGTATACCTTCGTCGGTCATGTAATAAATGAACATAAAGAGTTGAGAGTGAAAATACGCGTGTAACGGTAAATTGGATCCGTACGGCTCTTAAAGTGACAGCGGGCTATATTCCTGCTGCCGACTGTGTGCTTAATATTAATCAAACAACAAAAGGCAAATTCAAAATCATACACTGCTCTTGAGTGAAGGACTTTTGTAGCTTTAATAAGAAACAAAAAAGTTGAATTCTTACAGTGAAGACTATGCTGTTTTATTTTACATTTGATTATTCATTTCTGTAGTAGGCTGTAAACTGCTTGAGACTTGCATAAAAAACATTAAAGCACAGTTTGTTTCATTTGTATCTTTTTTATTCTATTGTATTTGTCCTTTGCTTTTTTATTACTGACATTTTAAGTATTTTCAATCATTTTGAGGAATTTTTGTTTGTTTGTTTGAAATTCCGCTGGTCTCTACAATGTAGATGTCATAGCAACTTTATTTACAGGAAATATATATTTGATATGTATCACTATCTTTAAATGAATCACTCATATAAAGTTTTGGTCATATGGCCCCCTCATAATCGTGTTAAATAATCGTGATTACAATATTGGCCAAAATAATCGAGCTTATGATTTTTGCCATAATCGAGCAGCCCTACATCTCGGACCTTATGTAGTTAAAACAAATTAATTCAGTGTCAACAAAGCTTAAGTTATTTTCCAATGAAACAGCATGAAAGTGAAGGAATATAAACTAATGCCATATTCCCCCCAAATCATTGCCCCAATAAATAAAGCAAAACCAAGAGAATGAATGATGTATTCTTATTTCTTGTCATCCAGGGTGATTCTGTTCAGACATGTCAAGGTGATAAAACCTGGAGTGGAACTCAGCCAGTGTGTGCTGGTAAGACTTTTCACAATGCAAAGCATGCTAAAGTAGTAAGAAAATTAATGTATTATTATTAATATTATTATCATTCTGTTTGATCTCTAAACTCATCTTTTATCTCTTGTTTTTAGCGGTGTCATGTGGTCCTCCACCTGTGGTTCCCCATGCAGTTACTGTGTCCAGTGGTCAGACATACCAAAGTATTGTGAGTTATATATGTCATTCAGGGCTGAGTTTGGTTGGTTCACAGAACCTCACTTGTCAAGCAGATGGAAAATGGAGCTTACCTACACCATCATGTGAATGTAAGAATAGATAAACGGTCACTCTTTAGCTTTTAAGTAACACAGTATAAATTCAAAGTCTTTCAGTGTTCCTCTATTTAACTTTTTTATTATTTTCTCCTCCTTTCTCTTTTTCTCAAATGTACATACACACAAATTCTCAGTTACAGGTGGCTGTGAGAGGACAACAGACTTACTGAATGGGAAGGTGCAGGAGCACAACCTGTCCAGCGGACATGCTCTTGAGTTTCACTGTGACAAAGGCTACACACTGCAGGGAGAGTCTCTCATCATGTGTGTGGGAAACGGCTCCTGGAGTTCACCTTTCCCTGTCTGTATACGTATGTCAAGCACTATGGTTTTTGCAATACACTGTTTGATGACTTATTGACTTATTGATGTTTTTAGTTCGCAAGATTTTGCAAAACAGATCATTTTGGATAAGTAATTTCACAACCAAATTGGTAAAAGACTTTTGTTAGGCCTTATCAATGAGAGCGTTGCAGAATACCTGTTTTTCCAACAAGGAACACACAAACTTAACGTCACATTTCTAAGAACTAATTGCTTCATTGTTGATCTGATTTTTTTTTGTTAGTCAGCAAAGCCATTCACAATATCAGATAAAATCGCTTGAAGATACAGTACATGACTCAAATCTTATCCCCCCACAGCCAAATCATGCCCCCCTCCTCCTGACTGGACTGGAGGTAGTGTCAACGCTACTCAGATGGTTTTCCTGGTAGGCCAGTCGGTATCAGTCAGTTGTCCTAAAGGTCAGCGGGTCAAAGGTAACCAGGGAAAAAGTATCGCCACCTTAACTTGCAGGAGTGATCAGATCTGGGCCCCCATCAGTGCAGTGTGTGAGAGTGAGTACAAACATTCGTTATTTCCAACGTTACTGTATTTTTCAGTGGCTTTACATGATAAAAAAAAAATCTCACAGCAAAAAATTCATGTTAATATGATTTTATAGCCCCAAAAGCATTTTGCACCAAAATGTCAGGAGAATTTATTCCCAAGTTAATTTCAAATTGTTTTTGGCATCTTCATCATCAGTACAGAGAGAATATCTATAATACATTTTCTTTGTCTTTGGGTCATATTTCAAAGCATATTTTAGCTTCTCTCTTCTGCACTTCTCTATCCCATGTATCCTATGTCGTTCTACTAAACCTCATACAGTACGCACAACTTGCATATAAACAAAATAGAAAGCAAATTGACTTCCTGATTTGGTGAGCTGGAAATTTGTTAAGTTGTAGTAGGTTAAGACACTCTGGACTTTGAGCCTATGCACTTCCACTACATGTAATCGTTCTGACTCAAGCACAGCTGCTGATTACAGCAGCTTGAGGAGTAAGTTTGACCAATATCTTTTGTTCCTCATTCAGGCTGCAGCATCACAATTAGTGCTGCTTTTCTTATTGCATGGTATCTCTATAATACACTATCTGTGTTTTGTTGCAAATTTCCACTTGTATTTTCTTCTGTCCGTGTTACTTCTGCATGTTATTCAAAATATTAGAAGCCTGCTCTCTCATAGTTAGTTAATTCTCCTTTGTTGTGTTGTATAATCTGTGATATTTTGATCCTTGGGCATTTTGCATGATAGCTCCGCAGTATGATATGTGTAGTTTTAAATTTATGTGGTGGCATGTATGCATATTTATTGACTCCTTTTTATCTTTTACAATCTTTTCAACCCGTTCATCCGGTTATTTTTTAAAATCTGATCCTGTCAGTATGTGTATATATTCACTTTTCTCTCTGTGAGACACCTGCTGAATTTCACTCACTGCTTGTAACATTACTATTTTCAGATATGGGAGGATATAATAATATTATTTCTCAAATGTGCATTTCTCGTGCACCATCTCCTGTTTTGTTTGTATGTTCCCAACACTAATTAGATTTCCTGTTACACAAAAGTAATGTGGGAAATTTTTTTAAACTAAGATTGAAATGAGAGAGCATGAAAATGCCATTTCATAACCAATCTTGAAAGGCCCAAAGGCCTTTAGTTCTTCAATGGACTGCTCAGCCATGCTGAGTATCTTCCTTTCTAATTTACTGGTCCGGTCCATTTTAATCACACACAGGGGTGTCCTGCGGCCCACCAATGTACGTGGCAAATGGGGTAGTCCGTGGGGCAGTGTTCCAGTTTGGAGATGTGGTGGTGTACTCATGTTACGCAGGCTACACCATGGAGGGTTCTAGCAGGAGTGTGTGCTTGGAGAATGGCACTTGGACCCCACCCCCTACCTGCAAAGGTAGCACAAGGAACTGCCCTTAAATCCCACTTGGAGTTCTGACTTCAGCCTTTTTCTTCATCTTTTGCAAAATCTTGTGACTCCTTTTGGCTGGTCTTGCACATTTACACATGTAAACACAAGCACTGAGCACTTTAGATAATGGTATTAGGCCACACTGCTAGTTAATGGCTTCAGATTAACTAGCCATATGTGCACATTTTTGTTCCATACCCTTTCTGTACAATATTGTAAATAGACCATATTTAAGGTGTTGACCTACGCTACCGTTCAAGTTTGGGGTCAGTAAGAATTTTGTATTTCATTGAAAAAAGTCTTATGCTTATAGGGCTGATTTTATTTGATTTCAAAATACAGTAAAACAGTAATGTTGCGAAATATTTTTGTATATTCATTTTACATTTATAGCAGCCATTCAGTGTCACAGGATCCTTCAGAAATCATTCTAAAGATTTCAGTTTGGTGCTCAAGAAACGTTTCTTATTATCAGTGTTGGAAATGGAAACGGTTGTGCTCCTTAATATTTTTTGTGGAAACTGATGCAGTTTTTTCATGAATTCTTTGATGAATACTGTAGAAAGTTCAAAATAACAGAATTTGTTTGAAAAACATTTTTTGTAACATTGAAAATGTTTTTACTGTCACTTTTTTTTTTTTTACTGAGCCCAAACATTTGAACGGTAGTATGAGAAATAAGACTTTGCCTTCAGTTATAGTACTGCCCCTCAAGCTCCTTATAAAATATAAAATATAATTTTATAATTAATTTCAATAATTTAACAATAATAGTTTTTAATTATGTCATTAAGTTATAGTACTCTATAGTCCCTTACAAATAAACATTAATGGAGTGTTCTCTTTGGGTGCTATGCAGCGATATGCAGCTAACAGTTACTTAATGTCAAATATGTTATTTATTGCATATTTTAGCATAGCTAGAACGTTATATTAACCAATCCAGGACCAGAATTTGTTTTATAATAGCTATTGAACAAAATCATTGTCCCACAGAGATGATAGAGATGGGCTTTAGTGTGGATGCCACTCTTTTCAACAAGACATGATTTTTTTGGTTAATATTTTTGGCATGTTTTAACATTGTACATTACATTCCAAGACACTTTCAGTCTCGGAGTCGTTGGCTTGTTTGGTTTGTGTGCTTGCGGAAACTAATTCTGATCAGTCCAATTTCCCACTGGTCTTAACGTCTAACAGCTGGCTCTTCTTTGAATGCTGCATGTCTTTATATGGTAATTTAGAATTCTGTTAGGACAATGATTGTACTGCTATTTGTTGTGATTGTGTCCGTTTCATCAATCATGTTTTGTGTGTTTGTACAGCTGTCTGTTGGCTCCAGTGCCAGAACGGAGGTGTGTGCCAAAGACCAAACACTTGCTCCTGTCCAGATGGATGGATGGGCCGATTTTGCGAGGAGCGTAAGTACACTCACAAACATGTGCGATAACAACAGCAGCACTCATAAACAGAGATTATTAATATTTCCAAATGACAGCAGTCCATTACTTAAGGCACCATTTCATGGATCAATAATAGCATGCATCACATTAGTTTCTTACAAAGTATTGCTCATTAACAATCACCCCACACACAAAGCTGCATTTCTCTCTGTGGCTTCCAAAACTGTTGGGTGTGGTGTCTATACATGCATGAATGTTTGGGAAATAGAAAGAGACCAAGAGGTTTAAACAACATTTTGTCTCATACTGAAGTTGAAAAATTGCTTTTAAAAAGCTGACTTAACACAGATTATTCTGCTTTTTCCAATGTCTCTTCAACCCAAATGTCACACAGTTTCATACTGCATGTGCTTTTTCCTGCAGCGATCTGCATCCTACCATGTCTCAATGGAGGACACTGCGTAGCTCCATACCAGTGTGAATGTCCAACAGGATGGACAGGCACACGCTGCCATAATGGTAAGAGTGAGTGTTTGTGTATGATGACTTGTGATAGTCATCAAGAAAATGTATTACATAAATTATGTTTAGTAGCAGAACTAGGTAACTAGTCAGTGCAGCCTCTAACGAGTGAGTAATTAAATAACAAATCTACAACACTGAGGAAGTAGGAACATCAGCTGCTTTATTAAGTCCTGACAAGCTGAGATGAATGAAACATCTGAAATTAGTGATAACCTCACAGCATTTAATTATAGCCGATTTATTAAGTCTAGCGAACATCTGCCATTTAAACTATCTATAATCTTGGAGGTTAGTATAAGTCTTAGTTCAACTATAAAAGGTGCTATTTAGGGAAATATCTCTCACCAGACATCATGCTAAACAAATTACATTTTAGAGTTTAAAAGTAGGGTGGAGTGCAGGGGAGTGAAGTGATTAGAGTGATTACAGACAGAAGGAACATCAGCATTGGTGACTATGAGTATAGTGTGTATTAGCCTGTAGATTTCAATTTCTGCAGTCTAATCTAATTGTCATACTCTTCGAATTTCATATTAAGAAATTCTTTTAACCCAAAAAGCAAATTATGCTCCCTTCGAACTGGTTTTCTTTAAAATACAAATCTTTGTAATCCCAGGCTATCTGTATTCAGAAGCACATTTATATCTGGAATATAATTTAATTTCATTCACATGTGTTTCATAAACACATAATCCTTTATGGATTACAATCCGCCATCAAAATGATACATTTAATTATTCTGGCTGCTGTGAGAAAAGGCTATAAACGATCGGCCAACTGCAGGATCCTCGCATGGGATAGCCTAGTAGCTAGGACAACTTCTTTATGTTTACAGAAGTGACGTAATGACGCAGCGGCATGCTCGAATTTCCTGTGTAAACCTACCCGTACCACTCAAATTAGAAAACATTATTATAAGCTAACAGTTGTGAATCGGGCTAAAGTAAGGCGATAGTTT